TGTGTGTGTGTGTGTGTGTGTGTGTTTTCTATGCAGTAACTGATCTCACAGCTCAGTAACTGACTTCAGTTCTTGTGTGTCAAATCTGTGTTAATGATGGCTGTCTGACTCTTCTACATCGAATCAGCTGTTCTCAACTTCCTGTCCCATGATGTCATCAGGGTGCAATATTGTACAGATCAGATGCTGCTTTTCTCAGCACTTAAGGCTTGGTAGACTTTACATTCGGGGGCCTGTAGTTGCAACACTGGTATGAATTAAACTGGGATGCACTGTTTAAATGGTGAGTGTGTTTGTGTTTGAGTGTGTGTGCATTCTTGGAATAAATGTTGACTATTTGCTTTCAACAAAAGAGCCCATTTCCATGAACATCAATGTCATGCAAACAGTGAAGTAAATTAAATGTTTAAAGGAGCGGTTCACCCAAACTACTACACACAGGGCTTCTTCTTTTTCTTTTTAAGCATCTCATATATTTGAGATAACTACAAAACATAGTTTGGTGTAGTGTTATATGTGTTATTTGTCAATTTTCGCCAAATATATTTTAAAAGCGCATTCAGGTTTGAAAGTGGGAAGGAAAAACTGGTGACGCACACGGTTCAGCTTCGATACATTTAGCCAGCCCTCTTCATTCAAATCCTTCACGGTTGACCTTGAATGGAAATGTTTGAAGTGTGCTCAGAGATGAATGTGAAAGATGTCTCCCTTTATATTCCAGTCTTCCTGCTTTAGAGAACCCTTGTCAGCTTCTTTTTTTTAACGAAAATTGTTTATTATGATGTGAATATGCAAATTATATTATGCAACATTTCTCTTATTTTATTCCTGTAAAAAAATTGTTTTCATTAAAAACTGCTGTATGTCCTGCATCAGCCGTGTTTATTCTTTTTGAAGTAAAAGAAGACTTCGATGAAGAAACGCTGTCACACAGACCCTACACAACACTGAATTATGACCAAATGTTTTTGTTATATATACCTATGTTAGTCATGATGCTTTAAAGCAGCACTGTGTAAAACTGTCCTGCTGAAAGCTAACTCACGTGGGTCAGCAGAGTGGTTTTACTCTCCCTGCGGTTTTTTCCAACAGTAGAGTCCATCTGTTTTCTTTTGATTGTGCAACATGAAATCAGATACTTGAACTAAGCTATTTAAAAAACATTTTGACATAGGCATGATCGAATGATCATCAATA